TCAATTTTGACGTACCATTCCACATAAGAAAAGACTGTGTACACACTATGAATAGGGGTCAAGGAACAGGAGACATGGTCATATGACCGTACCATGTGTTGGCAGTCTTATGTGGTTACTTCTCTTTTGGTTTGGATGGACTGAAAGATTAGGAGTTGCCTTTGACTGTCAATCTCTCCACGAGAGCGAGCAACACTCGGTCTATGTCAATAACCTACAAAACTGGTTCTTGAACAAATCTTCCATTCAAACATTTGGGAGTGAAAAGTTTGATCTGCGCAAAGCAACGCGGGGAAAATAGTATTAGATACGTTGATAACTGATATGATGTATCTTTAGTTAATTTTTTTAATTAGGATATCATATGCATGTATTCATGGATTTGATAGTTTGAATGAAGCATGCGGTATGATCAGCTAATGCATGAGCCATGACCCTAAAGTGACAACCATCTATAGGCAATCTTATTGATTGTAGAGAACCATTAGCTCGATTGAGGTTGTAAATTCATTACACCTGTAGACACTTTATAAACATTGTTTATCCAAACTTCTCTTTCTAACTCTAGTTTCATTCGCATCCTCTGTTGTAAGGACGATGTGAATTTCATATCTCTGTGCCTATGAAAAAACATGTAAAACGTAATTGTGGAACGAATCAGGAGCATAAATTATATGAGTTATCCGGAGTCATTGATGGTACGCATTTAAGCTACTGGTTAAGTTGGTATCTAATGAGAATTATAAAGCGAAGGTATATATTTCTCCACGTGTTGCGTTTGATTATGCGTCTTGAAGCTAATGAAACTCGTAATCAAGAAGTGACGGAATTCCTCAGCCGTAGTTTTGTCTGAATTTCTATTATTGAATCGCAATGTCTGAACATAGGCTCGTATTTGAAACTTGAAAGTATAACTAAACACACGAACTGGTCAAGCCCTTAGGCTTGACTCAACTCATTCAACATGTTCGAACCTTGACCTTTTCTCTCTTTCTCTCCCTCTCCACCTGCTTTTCTGTTTACTATATATAGACATCGCATATGCTTCATCAATCTGCGTTTGCACTCCTATACAATCCAGTCTAAGTCATCTCAAAGTCCCTCAAACACATCAACGAAACAACAACAGAAAAAGCAAGAGAAGAGAAGGAAAAAACCTCCCTCAAATGGCTTCCCTAGCTTCAACTCTCTCACTCTCTTCTTCGAATCCTCGTTCTTTGAAGAGAATAAATGCTGCCATTCCATTCTCCGGGCCTCAAAGACTACGTCCATCAGTTCCGAACCCAACAAAAATTACTCTCGAAACAGCCGACCGCCTAAAAACACTCGCTGCGACGCCGGTTGAGGCAAACGACGTCGGTGACAAAATATTAATTAATGAAGCACTGCATGAGCCATGCAAAATTAGTACCTCAGCTTATGCTAATCATTCTTCTTTTGCAATGGTTCAACTTCAAGCACTCTTGGTGTCCATATCCGACAGGATAGAGATGCACAACAACATGTGCGAGCAGCGAAACAACTGGAACCATCTCTTTCTCAGCTCCATCAACATGGTAACCTTAACCGCCACAACGATCTCTGGGCTTTCCGTGATCATCTCCGCCTCAGGAGGACCGATGACTTCATCTTCAAGTTCAGCGCTTTTGGCTTTGAAATTGTGTTCTGCTTTGTTGTTCTCTGCGGCGACAGGGATGTCACTTGTGGTGAACAAGATCCAGCCCTCACAGCTAGCCGAAGAGCAGCGCAACTCTGTGAGATTGTTCAAGCAACTATACGGCGAGGTCGAGTCGAGGCTCGATGTTCTTGGTGATTCAGTAACACAGGCTGACGTGGAGAAAATAGTGGAGAAGATCTTGGCTCTCGATAAAGCTTACCCTCTTGCCTTGCTCGGATCGATGCTCGAGAAATTTCCTGGGAAATTCGAGCCGGCCATTTGGTGGCCTAACTCAAGTGATGGGAACGATAATCAAGAAAAGGAGAGGGATTCTTCATGCGAGGAAAGAGAAAATATAGATGATTTTCTGAAAAATATGGAACAGAAAAATAATGGGTGGAGTGAGGAATTGGAAGTGGAAATGAAAGCTCTTCTTCAAGTGTTGAAAAGCAAAGATTCCGAGGACTACATGAGGCTAGGGAATCTGGCATTGAAAATCAACAAGGCTCTGGCCATCTCAGGGCCTTTACTAACAGGGATCGCGGCCTTCGGCTCGGCGTTCGTGGGGCCCATGGGTGGACCGTGGGCGGCAGTGGCGGCTGTCGCCGGCGGCGCCCTGGCCGGGGTGGTCAACAGTTTCGAGCATGGTGGTCAAGTGGGTATGGTGGTGGAAATGTACAGAAACTGTGCAGGGTTCTTCAGGCTCTTGGAGGAATCGATTGAATCCACACTGGTGGAGAGAGAGGTGCAAAGAAGAGAAAATGGGGAGATGTTTAGATTGAAGGTGGCTCTCAAGTTGGGAAGAAGCTTGTCACAGCTCACAGATTTAGCAAGAAAGTCAACTTCTTCGAGAGACTCTGGGACCAATGTGGATGAATTTGCGAGCAAGCTTTTCTGATAACACTTGAGCTTGCCATCATATAATTAGCTGATGACCTCTAATGTCATTCCTTAGTTCTTTGACTTTGTTTTCCTCAGACATGAGAACTTTTCATGTTAAGTAGCAGCTAATCTCGTGTTATGTTACTATTAATTGTTGTAATGAGGCTGAAATACAAATTTAAATTTGATCTTCCATTGTTTCAGTTACCTGATCTTATACCCTCTGTGATGCAAGAAATGTCTGTTAGCTGAGTTAAAGAAAAATCAGCTATGTACTGATCTGTAAAAAATGGGATGATGACATTACTAGTCCATGAATTTTGGCCAAGTACAATAATTTCCAATTCATTCAATTAGGTCCTTAAACTATTTTAATATGTTCAACCGTATGACTTGGTGTTAATAAAATTTGCGGAGATGAACACCGATTAGGTGAAATTAATGGTTGGACAGAGAAGTTTAAAAGTATATACCTGGATTCGGACGCGTAAATGTTTACTTGAAACTAAGAAGAAAAAATAATGTAAATCCTTTCATAAATGTATTATTCATTCTAAAAGAGACAATTTTGTCTTTGCTCAATCACTTTAAATATACATTTTCCTCTGCTTAACCTCTTTTAACATGGCAATTTTAAAAATTCACATACGCCATTTCAAATTGGATGAAAATTCATGGACTTATAGCGATATCAACCCTTTTGAATTGAGAAAAGTGGCTTTCAGCGTCTCTATAGTTGATGGTATTATTATATGGTAACTTCTCATGTTAAAAAAAAGAATTTCATTGTCTTGAGTCTCGATTCAACAAGCAGGAGAGACAAGCGCGTGGTTGATGAGTGATAAACATGACGATACGTGAGGGTATGCGTCAGCACTTTAATAGACCAAGGAATGATTTGCTCATGACTTTCTTGTTCGTATTATAACCCTAGGGCTGGACCATAATTAATCGACTATCAAAAGGAAATTAGCGTAGTAACCAACTATCATGGCTCGCCATTTAATTACGAATTCTTCGTAATAAGAAGGGTTAATACCACGAAAAACTCCATACTTGTACGATTGTAACAGATTTACCCAAAATTAATTTTTTGACTACCAAAAATCATAAACTGGTACACATGTGACAATTTTACCCTCCGTTAGTTTCTATTAAATTTTAACGTCAAATTTCTGAGTTGAATGACACATGGCATTTGATGGGTGTAGCAGTTTGGAGATTTATCCTTCGTTTGTCATGAGTGTACTAGTTTGGAGATTTACCCTTCATTTGTCACGTGTGTACCAATTTATTTTTTCGTGATATTAATCCAATTTAACAGAAGGTAAATTTATCACAAATGTACTAATTTGGGGTTTTAGTGGTCAAAAAATTATTTTAGGATAAATTTGCTACAGGTGTTACAATTTGAGATATTTGATTGTCAAAAAATTAATTTATAGTAAATTTATTACATGTGTATCAATTTGAATTTTTTTATAATATTAACCCTAATAAGAATCGAACTCACAATCATCGACTCCTAAGGCTAAAGCATGAAAACGCGCTTTTACTCGCTTGAGTTTTGACAAGAGCTTGCTCAAAAACATTGAAAATTGAGTTTTGACAATGCCCAAGGATTATGAAATGACCGGCAATAACATATCGTGTACGGTGACTTGAACCAAAAGGCATGTTTGAAAATTGAGTTTTGACAATGCCCATTGACTATGAAATGACCGGCAATAACATATCATGTTCGGTGACTTGAACCAAAAGGCATGTTTGACTGTTGCTGCATAGTACGGCATTCAACAGCACATGTCTTGTGTTTCTTGTACCAAAGACCAGAAACAAATTTTAATAGCAGAAGAACCAAGAATCGATCTTCCATTGCTGGTTCACTGACTCATTAGACCAATTCAGAGTTGGAAGAAGTCACAATAGTTGCAGTTAATCTGTCAATTTATCCTGGTCTAATAGAATTTGATCAGGTAAAACAAAATTGTTCAGAGTGTTCGGCAAACCCCAAATTACCGCATTTTCCAGGAAATTAAAATAAAAAGGTATTAACTTTGGTTTTATCATACTCTGTTCGGTCATCTTGACCCAACTTCAAAGGCATTGCTGCAACCTCCAACTACCGATGACTTACTTGAGGAAAAGGCAAGAGACCCACGCTCATTTCTCTGCGCCAAGTGCGGAGTTCCTGAATTCTCTGGTTGACTCGTATGGTGCCGATGGTGACCTCGAGCTATCTGATACCACTCCTCTTACCCCCCTCCATCCACCTAAACTGAGCAGACTGAAAATATGACTCGTATGGGCAAACCAGGGAAACCTTATACAGAAACATGTTCTTTTTTTCCTTTTTGTTGTGTGCCGTGCCCTACACAAGTGAAAGAAGAGGCAACGTCTTGTAGACAAGTACCTTTAGCCAAAGCGGTAATGCTGCATTAGAACTGGGGTCAAAATTGCATTTACAACGTTGTACCTTCTATATCAAAAACCTTAAAGTGAAAACCAATGGTACATGATGAGGGTCAAAATTGGATGTAACAAATAATTCAGAGTACAATCACGAATGTGGAAGGTTAGTGATAGCTGAAGCATCTTTCAGTATCTTCTGGGCACGCCAGTACACAGCCGTTGTGGATTCTGCTGTTCCCATCTGCAAAACAGCGATATCCTTGTAAGCAGGCAACTGTCTAAGGATATCCGGGATAAATAAAAGAACATTTTCATTACATACGATGCCCCACCCACAAGGTGTCGGATATTTTCCCTTCTCTTGGTGCCAAGTAGTAAACTACTTATTCAGAATTAATTAAAGCAAGCAAACAAATGAGTACTCACTCAAAGAGAAAATTGCACCTATGCTATCTAAAAAAAATGAAGTTTAAACTCGTTCTAGGACAGTATGGACAGTACAATAATTAAACTTAGTTCGTCTGATAAATTAATTATATGCAGGTTGGAGGAAACTCCTTTCAACAATACCTCTGATTGGTTGGTTAAGAATTATAGATATTACCCACACGCAAACTTAACCAAAATTAAATGTGGATGATGGCCACGCTCGTAACCCACCAATCGGAGGTATGGTTGGAGGGAGTTTCCTCAAACTAGGGTTGGAGGAAAACATGACCGTCAATTAGCCGCTGATTAATTTCCAAGTACTTTTGGCAACGCCTACTAATGCTGACTTCACAGATTAAGTTAATCACCAAATGTCTTCAGTAAGGATGACTAAACCGAAGATTTCAGTCACATTGTACTTCGATCAAAGAATAAGTAGCATGCAACAAAAGCAGGGCAAAGCAAACCTCACCTTGTTCTCCAGAGAATAGTAAGCTCTCCACAAATCTACACTTTGGTCATAAGCTGTGAGCGCAGCTTCATATAACTTCCGAACTCTAGAAAGACAATCTTTAGAACCCGCAAAAGCAAGGTTCATCTCCAGCTCAATGCAAGTCTTATATAATGCACCCTCAGGGTGAGGAAGAGCAAGAAATCTGCAATCGACAAAAAAACCCAAAAGATCATGGACTTTTAAATAAGGGTTGAAACCACGAAACTACACAGGCTGCACTGTGGATTTATTTTATAAGAGCAAATATGTAAGAGTAACATAACAATAACAAATATACATACCGTCTGTACATCTCTCTAGCACGTTCAACCCCATCTTTCTGAAGAACAAAATTAACAATCACTGAAGAGAGGGAAAATTCAGATTCACTGCCACCATTTTTAGGTAGAGCAACAAACGCGATCTCCAAAAGCTTGTCGAAGTATTGGTTTTGATTACCGAAAATCTTGAGAACCTGTCATATTAAGTCAAAGAAATTAGGCCAAACCATCAGAACCAGTCAATTAGCTTTTTCAAATATATACATATTGCACAAAAAAGATAGGAATCAAAAATGAGAACAAACATCTGATGTTTCCCAAGTATTAGTGAAAAAATTCACAGGCTTGCTAGCATCCAGTTCACAACAGCAAAAAGAAACTTTAGATAAGTAACTTAAACTATTGTCCAACTTCAGGACATGCCCTAATTTTCGCGGAAGACAAAGTCCAAGACATCACAATTTACTGAAATTCTATAACCACAGATAAGTGCCGAACCAGGCAATTGTCCAAAAAGACCTGAGGTTAAGGAAGAATGAGAAATATGAACAGACATTGAAAGGCAATATCATCTGTGGAAGGACAAAACTGTTTTTGAAGGGTTAGCGATACTATTAGGTGAGCAACCATCTAACCGAAACTCGTTATTGCCATGTTACTTCAATGAAATGTGGTAAATATGCAGGGCTCACAGCTTTCAACTTATTCATTAAACCTTCTGAAGTCAAGTAGCATCAACATATAAAACTAAGTATTACTCAAGTACAACAGAAATTCGAAGCATCAATATGTTTTGGAAGTAATGACTTACCACTAACCACAGTTGCTCGGTTTCTGAAACAGAGGCTTTTGTCAAAACGTTTCTCAGAAGATCAAAAATGGAAACCAGATCAGCCTTATCCAAGGATGTATAATTCTTTGTAAGACATCTAAGTTCTACTGAGACCCTTAAGAGCAACAACTGCATCGAATCAGACAGTTTTCCGCTGCAAAGCCTTCCTGCCATATCACGGGCTTCATTCAGTCTTCCCAATTGTAAGTACAATGAGACATGTTTGCAAGCAAGATCCTCATCCAGGCACCCCACTGTTTCAGCCTTTTCATATACCATTAGGAGTTGTGATATATAGCTGTGCATATTTCCAGATGACTGAGATCTCTCGATATTTCCTTCTTTCAGCGCAATGACATCCATAAAAAATTTTGTATACAGATTAAACAGCACAGGGGAAGGAAGAATCTCTATCGCCTCTTCATAGATCTGCATAAACAACAAAGGCAATGCTTAGGCAGTCACAAGCACATCTGATGTTTAGTATCTGTAGGTGCACATGGATCTCAAGCAATCAGTCAAATAATCACAACAAGAATTTTGCTAATTCAGGACAATCTCAAGGTCACAAATAACGTACCTTGACTGCCTTTTGCACCTCAGAATGCAATCTCTCCTCATCTATATCTTGTAGACTCTCAAAATCAGTAATTTGATGTTTTGCAAGCCAGTCCCAATATTCAGGGTCAGTGGAAAATTCTCTCTTCATGTCACCTAGTACCTTCTCTCGCAGTTCTTCTGAATCTGACAAGTTTATTGAATCCAATATCTCAAACAGTCGTTTTCTAAGACTCAAACTTGAGGGAAGCATTTCTACGGCACCACTGTAAATAGTTTGAAGAATGATCAACCCTTGCTCTTGAAACAAATCTACCTTCTTTTCAGCTTCCCCATTTTGACCACCGGATCCATCACCTGTATCTCTACCTTCATTAAGAGACATAAAGAGATCTTGATTCTCATTTTTCCACTGTTTCTCATTATTATCTTCACGACTGCGAATCAAAGTCTCGTTATCCTCTCCAAGAGCAATCCTTCGGGCCTTTAACTTATTAAGGTATGTGAGCTCCATTCTCAGATATTCCACCCATAGATCTTCTGATGTTGGACACAATCTTAAACCGCTCTGCATAAGTGCACGAGCGGCTGCAACATTTAGATTATGGTCGAATTCCCAGGCCGCAGCATAAATCCAAACTCCTGGAACCTTTGGGTGGAATCTTATCACCTGAGCAAGGGCCTGCAGAGAAGCTGAGACTAAATAAAGGACTTCTTTACGCAGTAGATCAATCGACCAGATACAAGCCAGACATCATGTAAATGCTTCAGGTCCACACAGCCTAGCAAATAAAGCATACAGTGCACAGAACTATCTTTTTAAAACACTAAAGAAGACAATACACTTGAAACAGACTTTATGGGCTTATTATTTTAAACGGGCTATTATAGCCTTTTCTGCCCATAAGCAGCAGAGTCTGGCTCTCCCATAACAATATCACTATAGATAGGCAGAATGGATGAATAGTTCTTTAATATACAAAGGAAAAAGTATCCCTAACAACGGAAGGCATTTTAACACATATCTTCACAATCAAGAGAACAGTCATCTGGGTTGCAGCATGTTTACAAGAACCAAAAGCATGGGCAGTAATTAACTTCCCTGTGATTGATTGAGAAGTAAGCTAAAGGATTAAAAGCACTTCCAATCATTCAAAGTTTCTAAGACTGATTCTTCTCCATGTTAAACACATTTGATCAACTTCCAGATCCCAATTCCCACAGCATTCCATTTAAACTAGTTTTTGTCTCGCCTTTAGTTTAAGATATGAAAGGCAGACACAATACATTTTTCTACAACCGTAAAGCCTCCTCTTTGTCCAAAACTATGCTTCTAGCATCTGCAATTGCTATAGTAGACTATTTGAGGTCTACAAAATTCACAATACCCAAAGTTTTCTCCTCTTCTACAGCATGAATTGTTTTCCACCACGTAAGCCAATGGTAACAAAAAAAATAAAAGAAAAACACTTCTTCATCCATTAGTCTGCGAAGAACTAAAGACCCAAAGGCACCTCATCCTCTAATGTGTAATCAAAAGACCGCCCCATATAGAAGTACCTACAAACTACCTCTCTTATTTCTTTGAGAAAAGACGAGTTCTCATTACAATTTCCAAGGTGTTGGATTCAGCTATTAAGCACTATGAACAACCTCTGTATGCCTCCCAGCCCACAGATTTGCACTTCAATGGAGGCTCACTTTTTAGCAGCATTCAGAACATATTTGGCTTACTTCTCTAAGTCTCTACCCTAGTCAAATTCTTCAAATTCTTTGCTCCACATTTGTGTCAACTGCATTACTGTCCTTAACTAAAAAATTCAACTTTCTTCATTTTCCTCGTTCATCAACAAGCCCAAACATAAAACATATGAGCAATTCAAGAAAGCACTTTGTCTCTGACAAGCCAACCACCTGAACAAAACTAACAATTTCTAAGCTGAAGCTCGAACCTTAGTCGCCTTCCCTTAACTTTCAACTTGAAATTGAGGTGAGTTATACGTGAGATAGTGAATTATGCAGACAAATTGAAGACGAGCCTTCAAACAAAAACCCCTACCTTCTTCATCCGGCCGTTCTTTCTCACCCTACAAAACTCCAAGTACCGGAACCACAGATCAATATCTCCCTTATACCTCATCACCGCCATCCTGTAAATCTCAATGATCCTCGCGACCCCGGCGAAGTCGGACACCGACTTCTTCATCTTCTTCCTCGCCTCCCGCGCGAGCGAGTTCTTCCTGAGCCTCCGGAGCGCGTCGAGCTGGGTCTCGTAGTCGATGTAGGCGAGGAAGTCCTCCTTGAGCGGGCTCGGCCTCTTGAGCCGGTACTCGAACTTCCGGCGCTGCTTCACGACCTCCGCGATCTCGCGGCGCGTAAAGAGGCCCCGCCGCTCGAGGTCGTCGAGCTCGCCCACCATGCGCTCGAGCCGGTACTGCACCACGTCCGCCATCGCCGCCGCTCGCCGAGATCCGACGGAGCCGGCGAGAGATCGAGGTCAAATTGGGATCTCCGGCGGTTGGAGGGAGCGGAGGGAAGCACCGTGGACGGTGGTGGCGTCTAGGGTTTAAGGGTTTTGCTTTCTGCAACTGTTAAGGCGCGCTAGAAGAAGCACGTTTTCATTTTTTTAATTTTTGCAATACTTTTTTTCCCGTTTTATTTTATTTATGGGCTTGGAAAAATCTCATCGTGGGCCTGTAAGCCAGCCCACTAAGTAATTAGATAATGGGCTCGATGGGCTTTTTGGTTATGCAAAAGCGGGTTGATTGGCTAGGCGTGCCTAAAGATCGGGAAAATTACCAAAAAAGTCCTAAACCTTTTGCAATTGTGCCAATTCAGTCCTAAACATTTTTTTTGCCAATTCAGTCCCAAACATTTTCCAATTGTGCCAATTCAGTTCTAAACCTTTTGCAATTATACCAATTCAGTTCATCTGGCCACTTTTGGCCGACCGGCGCTGACGTGGATGCGGGCCGATGCCAGCTGACTGACGTGGCAACATTTTAATAATTTTTTTTATTTTTCGAATTTTTTTATTTTTTCTCTTTCTTTTTTTTTCCCTATTTTTTTCCCCAGTCGCCGGTCCGGCGACCGACAACCGACAAGAGGCTGAGGCCGGTGAGTTCGACCTCACCGGCCATGGGCGAGGCTGGCCCTTTCCAGCATTGGCGACGGCGAGGCTGGCCAGATCTGGCGAGACTTCGCCATCGCCAGGCGAGGTCGAGCCTCGCTCTGGCCATGGCGAGGTCGACCTCGCCTAGATCTGGTGAGACCTTGCCGTCGCTGGGCAAGCTCGACCTCACCCGGCCATGGCGAGGCTCGACCTCGCCGGCGACGGCGAGGTCTCACCAGATCTGGGTGGCCTCGCCCGGTCATGGCGAGGTCGGCCTCGCCCGGTGCGATGGCGAGGCCGCCCAGATGGCGAGGTCAACCTCGCGCGGCGACAGCGAGGCTCGCCCTCGCCAGTGCCGGTGAGGGCTAGCCTCGCCCATGTCGCCGGCCTCAGCCTCTCGCCGGTCGCCGGACCGGCGACCGAGGAAGAAGATAGGAGAAAAAAAAAGAAAGAGAAAAAAATATAAAAATTCGAAAAATAATAAAAAAAATTATTAAAATATTGCCACTTCAACCGGCCAGCGTCCACGTCAGCGCTGACCGGGCAAAAGTGGTTGAATGGACTGAATTTGCACAATTGCAAAAGGTTTAGGACTAAATTGGCCAAAAAAAAGATTTATGATTGAATTGGCACAATTGTAAAAGGTTTAGGATTTTTTTGGTAATTTTCCCCTAAAGATCCTTTGCTCTAGCTTTATTAGATGGTATGGTAACGTATGTTATCGAAATCGTGTATCGAGGATTGAATCGAATTGGTATTTAATATTACGTTAATGCGAAGAAAAAACCATATGAAAAACACAACCGATAACCTAGATGAATCGGGCTATTGAATAGGGCTTTTTGAAAGAATGGTGGTAAATGGTGGTAATAGGAGAGAATCGGGGAAAAGAAGCTTTTCAATCAGATCGACTAATTGAAAGTTTGGATATTCAGGTTTAGCTTGGCCTAGGCAGATTTTTTTCTCTTGATAAACAGCTTGAACCGGACATAACATTGTTTATTTAGTAATGTTTACACTTTTCGATTCAACCGTAAGTGGTTGTTGACAACTGATTTTTAGCTTATTTTTTAAATTTTTCTAAAAATCACAAAATTAGGATTAAGAACCTTGACCAAGCTTAGGAATCTATTTCTAAACCAAAATTAAATTTTTAAGAATTTTTCTTTAACTTATTTTAGTCAAAATAAGGGTGAAAACCAAGAAAAATAGCAAATGGAATCCAAAAATTCCATTAAAATATCCATTAGTCTTATTTTAAATCCAATTTCATCAATACAGCATCAATTTTATAAAATTTCAATTGGGAATGTGTTTTTCCGAAAATCAGGTAAAATCAAGCCCAAATTGAACCAAAAATTCAATTGAGTCATTTCTAGTCATTTCTAGGCCATAGTGTCTTCACAACAAATGATTCTCGGACCTTGAATTGCATATTGGTCAGTCCAATTGCAAAATTTGTCAAAGGAATTAAAATGCCCCAAAAATCAATTGAAAATTAAGGATTTTAAGCCCAAATTGGGGATCTTAATCAATTTGAAATTGTCGAGCCAAGAGATCATCATTTCTAGGGTTAATCAGCCATGAGAAATCCAATTTTGGCATCAATTTTGCCTAATTAGGTCATTTAGATACTAGATTGAACAAAAACCCTAGTGATCCATATTTAAAATTTGGGAATTTTGGATCTAATTGCGATAAAAATTAGAAAAAAAATCTCATATTTGGGTGCAAAATGTGCTGAGGAATCCAATTTTGGGGGTAAAATTGAAAAATAGGGCTACAATCGGGTCAAATTTGCGAATTTAGACCAACCCGGGTCTGCCGAGTCGGTCAGCTAGACTCGACCCGGGTCGGCCTCCTTCTTTACCCGACTCGCTAAAAACATATAAAACCTAGAAAAAATCTGCTCATGGCTGCCACTTCACTAACTTAATTCGATCAATATAGAACGTGAAAATCAAGTTTATCAGCTGGAAAATCTCCGGCTAGAATCGGAGATTCGTTACAACCGATTCGAAGGTCGGTGGTAACGGATTTTGGGCGGGAAATCGAGCTACAAAGGAGAGAAAAAAATCATTATCCGTGAAGAGAAGGTGTTCGAGAAAAGTCCAGAGAGAAAGAGAGAGAGAGAGAGAGAACGAGCGCAAAAGAGAGAGTTTGAGCACAAGAGGTGTATCAAGGTTTCAAGGGCCGAGCGATCGGCGTTTTTCCGACGAGAAAAACGCTGGCAAATTGGTTCCGACAGTGAACCTCCTCACCTGAGTTAGTCGACACAAAGCTAGTCGCCAACATCTGAAAATCAAGCTCGGCCAGCGTGTCTAGAGTTACTCCGGCGAAACCGAAACCACCGTCTTGAAGTTCAGGTGACAGGGAAGGACTCTACAGTCGCCATTTGCCTCGAAACCTTGTTTGATCCTTCGCCGAAGCAGGTAAAATCCTCTACTCGCCACGGTTTTCCAGATTCGAAAAATGATGAACTTGAGTTCAATATTGATGATCATGTGATTTCTTTGATGATTCTGAATTCTTTGATGCCTAAAACATGTTTCTAATCATACTTTCATTGTTTGATTGCATTTTAAATCATTGTGGCATTTCACCGAGCACCTAGTGTGCATAGTTTCTGGGTTTAGGTTCTCAAGACCGCCGATTCAAGCTTGCCGTAGATGAGCCTCCGACGACCTTTTATCCCTTTTGATTGGTTTAGTGTGAAGATTATGTTATCCCCTATCGACCTCAGCTCACCGATTTGCCGCCGGACCACCACTGGCTAGCAAAAAACCAATCAAAATACCCTAAACATCACTGACCTAAACAACCCAATCACTTGTACAAATCAACCTACAGAACGCCCTAGTCGTCTATACCAATTCCAACAACAATCAAAGCAAGAAATGAGATTGAAAATCACTGACTTGGATGGCCTATGCTATTATAGATACTCCGACGAGGTCAAAGCTGCTCCGGCGAGGATTTTCATGTATGGCCGACTCGGTTTAATGCGATTTCAATGATTTAAAATGCAATCAAACAATGAAAGTATCTAAATATATGAACCAAACAACGTAAAACTTGACGTTCTAACAAAATACCCAATTGGGGAAATATTCATGTAGTTTTAAGCTACTTAAGAATTGTTTATTCGCAATAAAAGTTTTTACCATCGTTGTTCAATGAATCATTTCCTCAAGTTGCACTAATAACTCCTTAGAAGCATGTTATATAATAATGAAATCGAGACACTCCCAATAAAACATCTATGGAGATGTGCGAACTAGAAATATTTAATGAATTTGAGAAGTTTGATCAATGCTTATTTATTGGCCAAACTATTACATGATAGAGATTATAAATAATCAACGACAGAAGCACACACAACTTTTACACCGGGTGAACTTTAGTCAGCAGAACCCAGACTTTTTTATTAAGCAGCAAGAAGCCAAATTGATGGAGATCTAAGTTTCCAATGAGCTTGTGAAACAATTTCAAGGGAGTTCACCCCCAATTCCTCCTCCAGCACCTCCACCATATCCACCTCCTAAACCGCCATCAAGCAAGCCGCCGCCTCCGGCACCGCCGCCAAACCCTCCTCCACCACCGCCTCCAAACCCGGATCCGAACCCACCTCCAGCTCCACCCCCATAACCGTATCCCGCCCCTCCACCTAGTCCGCTCCCTCCGCCACCGCCGCCTCCGCCCAAGCCACCGCCGATGCCTCCAATGCCTAACCCACCGATGCCACCGTAACCAAAGAATGTTTTCTCCTCATTGAGGGATGAGCCCTCTTGGGCATTCCCCACAAGAAGCTTCCTACTGGCATTGGTGGTGCATATGAGGGCACCAAAGAGAACCACCAAGAGAATGTTTTTTGTAGTAACAACAGTCATTGTTCTTCGAATCAATGAGAGAATTCTTTTTCCTTCTTTTTTCTCTAATCTGTATGTGAAGGTGCTCACGTTGGAGAAATTTATAAAGAGGAAATGTGAAGGTGATGGTTGAGAAGGCTTTAAAATCATTCACATTCCTACCTGTATCACCCATCGTCCGTGCCAAAGTATACAGGACACAGTTGAAGTATTGATAGAAACCAAGCTGCTTCCAGAGAAAAAGGCACACTTTCCATTATTCACCATCTCGTGACTGGTAGGGGTGAGCAACTTGGACCGCCCAAACCGGGACCGGACCGGACCGGACCGGACCGACGAGTTTGGTCCGGTTCTCGGGACTATCGGTCCGGTTCCCGGTTCCTAAAAGCGGAACCGGTTTGAAGCTGTCCGGTTCCCGGTTCCAAGGGGAACCGGACCGGACCGACCGACTATTTAATATATATATTTGTTATTTTTTTCTTTAAAAAAATTAATTAAATATGAACTAAACTCTAAGTAAACTTCATTATCATAAATTCATTAATAAAAAATAGTAAAATGTGAATTAAACCCTAAGTGAACTTCATTGACATAAATTTATTGACAAAAATTAGTAAAATGTGAACCAAACCTTAAGTGTTTGACAAAAAAAAAACCCTAAACTCTAAGTAACCGGTTCCATTGGACCGGAACGGAACTGGACCGGTCCGGTCCGCGGTTCCCAAAATTGGGAACCGGTTTTTGGTCTGTGGCTTCCCACGGCTCCACCTTGAACCGGACCGATTGCGGAACCTGACGACCGGAACCGCCACCCTAGTGACTGGGATCATATATTAAGCCTAGACACATATGATCATCCATCTAGAAATTGTGCACTGGGATCCGGTCGAGTTTTAGGGATTTCGTCAACTATTTGATAATATATATATTTTGCGTTTTGATGGGTGAACAGGATACGTCACGGAAAAAACAATAAGTTAGGATTTAGATCTACTTTTTTATGTAGTTCTAGAAATTGAATGCACAAAGAAAAGGTAAACCTCCAACCAAACGTTAGTAATTAATTTATGAAATTTGAAAGCATTTTCTGAGTTCTCTCATAATTTCATGTGTCAATACTCCTAAACCGAAGATAGCCACTCATTTTTTGGGTTGCTTTTGGCCCACTACTCTTTTTGTATATCTAATTGGCCATCTCCTAGTAGTTTAGAAGTTTCGACACGCGGTTCTTTAAAAATGCCATTGATAACTATTTTTCGTACGTACAGCGGAATGACAAAAATGTGTATAGAACTTTTTGGAATGGTCAGTTTCCCACACAAAACAAAGAAACTCTCCTGACAAAATCCTTAAGAATCAAATGAACCGCAACATTCAACAGAAATACAAGGAGCAAATTTTTGTCAAAATTCATGATTAAGCTACCCAAACCCTAAATTACATTTCTGCAAGATAAACAAGAACTTTTTCTAAGTTCCTCTTTGACCGGAGGATGGTAACATAGTTCAAGTTTGGGAATTGTATGTCCATTTTGGGTGTTGTAATCAGGATGAGTCACCAGATAGAGGTATATTACCATAGAAATTAGGCTAATCAGCTCTTGTTTTTAAAGTGCAATTTGAGTATAGCTAAATGTATTAGCAGGCGCTTGGGGTACTGTGAAGTATGAACATACTCTTTTATTTATCATCTATGTGAATGTATTGTCACCCACATGTACTTGAGGGAAGTCCAGGTCAGAAGATGGTGATGCAACCAACAGACATACACATGCATAAACTATATATCCACATAACAAATGTATAACATAAGTAATCAAGTTCAGTCAGCTATACGACTTAGATCAGATCAAAGGGTAAGATCCAAAGGCACTTCATGAACTGCTGAGTTCAGTGACAGAGTGGTCATTGATGTGCAATCAACCATCCTCTTCTTAGCTGAATTTTCTTCTCCACTATGATTGCTCTTGCATGCATTCTCAGTCTCAGCATCTTCCTGTGCTCCTCCCTTTTCCTCACTCTCCTGCAAAATCAAATAAAAACCCTCTTCAGAGCCTGCCCACAGAGAGAGAGAGAGAGAGAGAGAGAGAGAGAGATTTAACTTGGGATTTGCAGCTTTTGAGCAGATCTTTGAAGATGATGTAAGAACTTGGACATCCTTTGCCTGCTGATGTTTCAATATTCCATCCCTGTTGTGTCTCATAGCTGAAAATATACAAAAGATACCAAACGGTTCAAAAAGTGTGTCCAAGAAAATTCTCTCTAGTCATATGTTGCGCACTAGAAAAGTCAGTTGTGTGTGGTCATGTTCATGGTTGATTCTTATTCTCTGTGTGTGTGTAAATTGTGGATCACTTGGTTGAAAGTAAGTAATATTCGGAATCAACTATGACACTTTATGATTATATTCTGGTAATAATGTTGTGGTAATCTATATTCTAGTAATTAGGTTTCTCACATTTCATTAAATTGAACCCTCAAGTTATATCCTTTTAATATTACAGTTCACATCCTCATATAGCTCACTGAGTTTATCATGAGATCACTACTTAAAGGTCTAATACAATTGAAAGTTACGATCTACAAGCAAGTTAAGCGCGAGGTAAATTGGGTGTGTTGATAGAAAACAGTTAACAAACCCCTTCGTGTGCACGCTGTTGTTCTGGAGAGCGAGCCCGCTGGAGTGATGATTTCCCTGGTTTTGGTAGCTGGTCGTGTTGTTTTTCATCGTCAGATCGACCTTGTTGCTTTGGCGCTGGTAATGCTGTTGGTGGTAGACTGCATCCCAGCGAGGAAGATGATCCGAATATGCCACTCGCCGTCCCCTCTCCTTCTTTCTTCCTGCCACTTCTGCTTCTGCAAGGAGAAGCTTCCAAAATCACACAAACAAGTTCTATTCCATCCCATGCTCGGCTTTTTTACAGGTTGTAGCGTGGGCATAAACAATTGAGCTATTATAAATAAGTGACTTTCAGATTTTAACTTTTTCAGATAATTAAATTGGTAAGACACAAAGAATGCTTGGACATTAAAACGTTTTATTTGCCAGTTTCTTCTGAAATGGGTCATGAGAAGCAGACAGATCTACTCCGGCAATGAACTCAGTGCTGGTCAACCGGTGAAACTCGGCATGCGACAAGTTCGGGAGTCAAATCCAAAGATATTAAAGTGCGGTGAGGAATCGTAAATTATAAGAGAATAACAGGTTGATCTTGCAATTCTGTGGGGCTAAATGTTTTTGGCAACTTTAAATAATCACCTAAAGAATGCCAATTCTGGAGCTAGCCAATTATTGTTTCAGTATACTGTAGCGTCGTTCTTGCTGAAACTTATAAAAGGCACCATTTCATCGTTGATTGCAGTGTGTAGGACAACAAAGACGAGCAAAATTCTACGAAGGGTAAATCCAGTGAGAGAGTACCATGTGTCTTAGGGCAAACCTATGTATATCTACAAGAATATGCATAAAAAAGTTGTAGTGTTGTAGATATAACCTTGCATGATCTGCTCATCCTTCATACTTCTGTACATCTGCTCCCAGAAATAGCACCATTAGTACTCACATCAGCATGAACATCTTTACAATGGATTAGAAATTTCATTTTTCTGGTACAGCTATAAAAAAAAAAGTGCAGGTAAAGTGAAAACGCAAACCTGAAGATGGCTCTTCACATGAGATATAGTAAGTCCCTTCACGCCCATTATCTGCAGAACCATCTTTGGCGTCGCTCCTGCGAGAACAGGTCGCAGCGGCAACTTTTAGTTCATTCCCACATCATTATCTAATAAACCAAAACTATTTATATGGCCAAATCGGCGATGTTAATTTTGATGGCCTTACTATCCTCTCCGCCTAGCCGTTCGACCGCATGCATGAAGCACTGATGAAGATCCGGGGTCCAACGAAGCCTGGGCGTCTTGGATCGAACATAAGGCCTGACCGCAGATGGCTGCCGGCTCATCGTTCCAGGGGGCACTAAAGCCAACATCCCGTAATCTCGCTTCCTACCGCCCCTCAAATCGGATGATTCCAAGGACGGACCAACGGCATTGACAACAGAAGAGGACGGAGAATTAGACCTCTTGAGGGAGCTTTCTTCTCCATCCACCATCTTCCTCCTCTTCAACCACACTCTTGATGAAACTGAAGAGTACGACTATATGGCAACAGAAAAGAGAATAAATACTTGGTAAAGACTCTGCTGAACCCAGTTGTCTTTTTGTGCAGCTTTTGCTCAGTCTAGGGGGAGTTCAGTTTTAATTCTTTTGGGGTCTCGATTAGAAAAAGGAAAAAAGCTCCACCCTCTTCAGAACCTGGGTTTGTTCAAAAATGCCTTCATGATTCAGTGAAAACTATACATAAAGGTTACCCGAAATAAATGGGAAAACAAAACTTAAAAAGGACAATGGCAGGTCCATATAATAGAATATGAATACTTTATGAAGACATTCTTCCGGTCACATTTTGCAGACATTCTGTCTCCAAACCAAGCAAAAACACTCAGCACGTGCTTGACTTACAGCAGCAACATCTTACTGATTCCACAATCTCATGTTCAGCTGCACTCAAAACTCGATTAACATACGAATACTTATGCTTGGCGAAAAAGGGCTTCCGTGATATCACAATTAGGGGTGTTAGAACCGAACCGAATTGAACTGAAAATTTGGTGCATTTCGGTTCGGTTCGGTTCGGTTTCAATTTGGATAATCAAAGCAAATCATTCTTTTTATTTCAATTCGGTTTATTTCCGAACCGAACTGAAAAAATAACTTCGGTTTTTACCCTAAATGAGCGAAACCCCTCTCTCTGTGGCTCAAATCCCCTCTCTTTCCGCTGCTACGATGAATCGCCGCCATGATCTGAACCCTTTCGACGAGGAAGAAGAGGTCAATCCATTCTCAGTGAGTGCTCTCTCTCCCCCTCACAGATCAGCGCTCATTTCTGCGCTTCCGTCGCTGCTCTTCTCTCTCGCACGCTTGAGTCTAACTCCGCTCGCTCTGTGTTGTCGGGTTCCATAGCATACGAAAATGGTTCTATTAATCAAGCTGATAATTCTTCTGGAGTCTTGCGAGAGGTTCCATTTTTGACATTTCTCCCGACTCTTTGCGAGGATTTGTTGCGTTGCTCCTCTGCATGCAATCTTAGTTTGTATCTACTGGGAATTGCGGATTAGTTTATGTTGGAAACAGACGTGGAAAAACAAATACAGAACATAGGGATTTACATAAAATTCAAGACATATTTAACAGTTTATGTAATGCTTGGTTTGATGGTTGATGGTGGCTCTTGTACTGTGGACTTGCTTAAGCGTCCTCGGATAAATAGATTTGTTTCTAAGTTGGGTGATGGTTCTTTTTATTTAAATTACTACTTGAAACTGTTGCTTGATTCAGTCCATTTATTGAGCTTTCTTTCTTTTGTTTGCAGTGAGCTTTACAAGAACAACATTCAAGATTTGCAGTTTCCTTTCTTGGCCCTTCTCAAACCATATCAGTTTTGGTTTGGTCTGGTCATGTATGTTTGTTTTGAACTTGTGTTTTCTAATTTCTAATCTGTTTGTCTGGTGTGTTGGTGTCGTGTTGTCTTGTAAGACTATCCAACTTTAGATTATGCATGTTCGTGTATATTTAGTCTTTAAATTCTCTATGCTGTATGGTGTTTGTATCTATAGCTGTCAGGATGTAAAAAAAACATTCCTTGAAATTCAATAGACACATGAGAAACCAATCACTTAGTTGAATATATGAGAAAACCAACCTCTTCTTTGGTGTTTTAACCGAAAGTTTTTCTGTGTTTTACCCAGTCACCTGCATAAGCTCTTGTTCCAAACTAAAATGGATTGAGTGATTTTGTTGGATGAAAAAGTAGAAGTACGTGTATTTTTTGGTAATACAGTCTGTGTCTAGTCTTTTGATACGTCAGTTCTTCTTATATATGAATAAAAAAAACAAAGAAAAAAAGAAGAAAAAATCGAAAACCGAACCGAACCGGTTTTTCAGTTCGAGTGAGATTCGGTTCGGTTCAAAAGTGCATCCCTAACGGTTCGGTTCGGTTCGGTTTGGTTCGGTTCGATTTTTCAAGAAAACCGAACCGAACCAAACTGTTTACACCCCTAATCACAATATTCCTCACTTACTCATGTTCCTCTCCAGCAGGACAAAGAGCTGTACCGAATTTCCGCTCAAAAAACGGGAGAAAATGTCAAATTCTACAGCAGAAAGTAAGCCCCGGTAATAAACCAAGCGTTACAACAACCGAGCAGGAGAAAAACAAGAACCACGTTCGCCTACGAGGCCAAAAAAAAGCAAACAGAAAACAAGACTTCAAAAAAAAGTTGGCGAAAGTTGGAAAAGAAAATGAATCAAAGTACGTTCCTACTTCATACAGAAAGAAAAAAACAAACAAATATGACGCCAGCAATGCATTTCCTCGAGGAAACATGCATAATAGTGATATGAAAAACCGGCTACAAAACAAGGGCCTTCGTGCGTCGTCATATATTCCAGATTCCCCTTTATTCCGGCACAAGACTTAGACTTTTCGCACTCCCACTCGATTAAAACATGGACTTTGAACACATTGCACACCTCACAATCTATACGAACTACCTTTTTTTCCCGGTCGAACTATGCAAAGCTATGTTTACACTAACAAATTTTCCTCAGAGTTAACACATGAGGTTCGGCCGAGCGATTTAAAATGTGATAGTTCTCGTACTTGAATCACAGAGCATCTTTGCACTTGGAGTAGCCTTTGAGGCCACCCTACAGTCGGAGCCTTACCCCGATAAATTAATCGAAAGGCTCGGATGCCTCGTGCTATAAGATAAATCTCAAAAGTTTAAACTGGGGAAAATAAACCTAAGGGGGTGGCAGTTCGTGTTCGTGGATTATCCTCGTATCGTGTCGACATAAGGGTATACCACGGAACATGTAAATCGGAACACGGCACGATTAGTTAGTTTTATTAACCTACGAAATACGAGCACGACGGGTTGACGTGACATGTCCCGCGTAGCACGGTTAAATAACAGGTTGATGGGTTGTTTGCATAACCCATCATGACATGAAATCAACCTACCAACATGAACTTGACACGAAATATCCTCCATTTTTCGTAAAATCTGTTTAGAACTAACAATAATCTATCAAATTGTTGTCAAATCTAATTAAACAACTTGTTCGTAGTCAACGAAATATCAATAATATGTAATCTTAATAGCCAATATCATGGACAATATGGTCTTTCAACCAATCATGTCAAAGCAAGTTGTAATGGGTCTTGTCGAATATGACCTGTTAATTTAAACGAGTTATATGAGTCAATATCGTGTCAAGCGAGTTTGAAACGAGCACGACATCATCATTGATAATGTCTTGTTGGTAGACACATCAATTTGGCTCGATCATGATTAGCCTCTCAACCTAAACCCCTAACCACGTGTACGTGCTCGATTCATGTTACAATATCGTGCGAGAAAGTATTCCTCCCAATGCCCTTTGAATATTTCTTGACATCTTCTTCCGCGCACAAGTATAGACCGGGCTTCACATGCGAAGTCACGTCACAACAGCCGACATGAAAACAAAAACAAGATGACGAAACCATTCTGTTCCGAAAGCGAAAACTATCGGAACAGCGTAATACACAGCCCGTTTCTTAGCACAAATTAACCTCATCGGCCTCTTTCACCGACACCGCAAAACAAACTTTCCAGGCGTTGTGTAGGCATGCGGTTCTTCGTCTCGCATCGACATGTCGGCGAAGCCCATGCAAAACATTAATAGCAAGCGCCATCGACGGGTGAAAGAAGATGAAAGTGTTATAATTATATTATCTATAATGTGATTACACGTTCAGTTTATTATTGTCCACATTAATTAATTTCGTCAACGTTTATTGAGCGCATTAAAATACGTGATAACTATTATCGCCCAATATTAAGATAACTATCTTGATAGAAGAAGTTATCTATAAGGTTATGTTTAGCGAATATAAATAGGTCATCTAAGCCAAACCTTCTCTTAAACTAATTATCTGAGATATCAAAAAACACACCATCAACGTTGAGAGGATTGACGATCGTCAAAACTCTGCGTATCGGGTTCTCAATTTCATCAATGGCTGGAAGTTAGTATAGAATTTTCCACGTTTCCGCACTCGATTTTTGATTATGTATGGCTATTGTTTATACATAGATAATCGGGATCTTTAACCTTCTGCTATAGTTAAATTTCTAACAGAAAGAGCGCATGGAAGCTTCCTGGCTTTAGCCTTTGTTCCTCGCAAAGAGCCAAGAACGGCCGAGGCAATCCCGCGTGTCTGTATGCAGTGATGACATCGCAAGAGAGAGAGAGAGAGAGATGGAAGAAGCGGCGAATATTCTCTGAGATGGAGGTCTGAAGCGGGGACATGTGGAATGTGATCTCTCGCAAGAGAGAGAGAGAGAGAACGATGCGAGGAAGAAGATGGCGAAGTTGACTATACACGAGAACTCAATGCACAGTCTTGGCTGAATAATTCAGCGTGAAGACCCTTCTGTTCCATTTTGTTTTTCTTGCTGCAAAGTATTTATAGATTCATCTTTTTGTAATAAAGATGGATATATATATATATAAAATTCTAAGTTTTTGCACCGTAAGCTAATAGGGTTCCGTGATTTTTCATTAAACACAAGAAAAGGCTTTTGATCTCGATCATTTCCTCAACCCATGTCCGATTAATTAGGACTTAATTGCACTTTTTGAAAGTTTTATGAATCAATTTCGCTTTCATGACAAGTTTTAGGACTTAATTGCACTTTCGTGACAATTTTTAGGATTTTCAGTGCACTTATCTAATTACTAAAAGATCTTAATGGTTTGGTAATTAAATTGAAAAATATTAATGATATATAACCCAAATATTTGTAGTGATACCATCATTATCGAGGCCAATCTAGATACTTCTATGGTACACCTAAACCTCAACCATTTTCAGACTTACAAAAACGCTCCCTCCAAAGGAATTTATTGAATCGCTCCGAATCCGATTCGACGGTAGATATCTGGCATTCATTCCCTTCATTGGAAAATGGCAGTCAAATCCATAACGGTCTCTTTTCTGATTGATCACCAACTGTTATACATACCTCGCGAGCGTGTGATTGTTAATGCATTGTTAGACCTGTTAAACGGGTGGGTCGGGTCGGGTTTGGGTCGGGTCATAAATGGTCCGACCCAAATTGACCCATTAACCCGTTTATGACCCATTTATTCATAGTGTAAATATCTCGACCCATACCCGACCCGACCCATACCCAACCCATATCCGACCCGACCCATATTGCTAAAACACTTTTGTATTTAACCTAATGTAGGAATACTTGTTTCTTATGATTTTTTTTTAAAATTATACTGCTAAAATATTTTATACAATACAAAGCTAGTGAAAAAATTTTATAATTTTTTTTAAAATTGAGGTTCTGTTTGTTTTACAAAAAATGCGACATTTCTAGAAAATATTTTCATAAAGTCATTATCCAAGAAAATAAAAAAAAAATTAATATTTTTTTTATTTTTTAAATCGAATTTTTAAATTTTTAAATTTTTTTTCCTTTATTTTTGGCCGATCGCCGGCCGCCGTGGCCGGTGACCGACCACAGGCGAGGACGAGCTCGCCGAAGGCCGGTGAAGCTCGTTCTCGCCTATCTGGCGAGGCCGAGGCCTCGCCGGCCTCAGGCGAGGTTCCAGCCTCGCCGATCTGGCGAGACTCGAGCTCGCCGGCCTCGGGCGAGCTCGAACTCGCCGGATCTGGCGAGGTGGAGCCTCGCCCGAGGCCGGCAAAGCTCGAGCTCGACCTCGCCCGAGGCCGGCGAGCTCGAGTCTCGCCGGCCTCGGGCGAGGCTTCACCTCGCCAGATCCGGCGAGGTCAAGCTCGCCTGAGGCCGGCGAGCTTGAGTCTCGCCAGATCGGCGAGGCTGGAGCCTCGCCGGGATAGGGCGAGCCTCGAGGTCGCCGGAATCGGGCGAGCTCGAGGCTCGCCAGATCGGCCAGGCTCGAGCCTCGCCCGAGGCCGGCGAGCTCGAGCTTCGCCGGCCTCCGGCGAGGTCGTCCCACCCCGATGGCCGGTCGCCGTGGCCGACCACCGGCCGGAATAAAAAAAAAAGAAAAAGAAAGAAGAGAAAAGAAAAAATAAAAAAATAAAAATAATTAAATTTCAATTTTTTTTAAACATTTTTGTAAAGAGGGAGAGAGTATGTAAATGGGTCTAGTAGGTGGGTTGAACATGGGTTCTAAACTCAACCCATTTAGACCCATTTATCTTTAAGCTTTAAAATTTAAAATCCATTTAAGGTTGACTCTTTAAAATTAAAGTGACCCATATATAACCCATTTATTTTTAAATGGGTCATATATGGGTTTAAGACCCATTTTGACACTTCTGTGCATTGTCCAAATTTGCACGCGGCCGAATGATCTCACTAAAATCCATAAAGGGTCCCTTTTCTTGATTCAAGCGCCCGATTATTACGCATTGTCGCGATTCGCACGAGGCCAAATGATCTTACCCATCGAATCAGTGGGCCCGCACATGATCCAAAGGTCAATAAGCACGGTTCTAATGTGCATCGAGAGCATGTAAGTATTGACGGCATTAGAAAGATATGTTGCCAAAGCCTATTCATTCAACTTTTCTATAAAATTTGTCACAGGTATACAAGTTTGGGTTTTTTTGTAATATTAACCCTATTTTTTTTTCCAAACCTTATTCTCGATCTCTCCCTTTTTGGCATAGAGATTCAATGACCTCTAAAGTAGTAGATCATATTAATTGGTCATTGGTCATTCAACTTTTCCTTTAAGTGAAGATAGAAAGAGAGCTGGATTTGCATAAGGGTGTTAGCCTAATTTCGATTTTGTAATTATTAGTGTTTTTCAAATGATGATGTGCAATTGGGAGATGTGGCAATTGCTTAGTTGCTTCAAATTGGGCCTATTGCAATGACGATGAGTTTGTAAAGGTGACACCAAAAACTCAACACAAGAATAAACTTTTGGTCCTTGATTATTGCATCACCCCAGCCGATTCGAGTAGCTTAAGGCCCTTGAAGATCTAACATCATATAAATTAAATCAAATACCATTCTAATTTCTAATGATGTATAATTGGAATATGTGTAGGGATACATACCATTATCGTCGAGGCACAATCTAGGTATTTGTAAGGTAAACATGAACCTGAACCAATATTCAAACCACATTCTAAGAGGAATTTTTTTAATCGCTCTGATTCGACCGCAGATGCTGCTCCATTCATTCTTTTCCATTAAAAAAGGGATCAAATCCATAACGGTTTCTTTTCTGATTCATGCCCAACGTAACGTCCGTAACGAATATCCGCAGCGTCAAATCCATAACGGATTCTTTTCGGGGGCTTATATATAATTTGCGAGGGTGTGAATAAGTTGATTAACATATTGTCTCGATTCGCACGATAACAGATAATCTTGCCCATCGAATCAAGTTGGCCCCACATGATCCATCGGTCGATAATTGATATGCAAAGTATATGCTCTCGCGCTCGAGATCGACATCGAGATTGAGATCTAGAGAGAGAGAGAAGGGGGGGCCCTTGCCAACCTTAGGGGGTGGACCGTAGACCTATATTCTGCTTTTGCTAATTGAGTCCACCAGGCCCAACTAAAGGACATCGGAAGGTAGAAGTGAGCTGGTGGTCTAACTCTAATGCTCGATCCACCCGAGTTCGATTTTACCTTTCCTTAATTCTCATTGCCATCTTCTAAATTCCACCATCACCCGCTATTTCCCCCATCTATTTTCTGGTCATCATGTCAAATTCTCTGCTAGAGTTTACGTGGAGTTTTATATAAAGTGCGTCTGAATCTCATCGTCCGGGTGTATCCTCTGGTTAAAAGAGAACATGAGATATATAGTTGCTTATTAAATTATAATAGAAGTACATGAAATATTTCGAACATGTAAAATGATATGAATCAACGGGAACGTGAAAGTATAAAGTAACAATGTAAATTCTCCGCCGGAAAAGAGATGAACTAGTTGAACGTGCTGCTGTTGGAAGATTACCGACAATGTGAGGGCCATTCACGGTCCATTGCTGTAGATCGATATCGTATGGAAATGAGCACATTGCAATGGTCGAGGTGAGATGAATTATGAATTAATTGCTAAAATTGTTCGAAGAATTTATGAAGTAATAAACACAGAGTTTCTTGCTCGGGAACGACTGGTTGCCTTGGACTGTGCCTCACACGAGCGGGTTGATATAACTATGCAGCTCCAAAATGGAGATTGAAATGAATCTGTTTTAGTTTGATCAATCAGATGACGTGCCTCGATGGCCTGCAATCGACTGCCTTTGCATGGAGCGTGAAGAACAGGCTATCCGATATAACGCTAGCTTGCCCTCTTCTCGAGGGATTTCTAAAATGAGATCCAAACAAAACCCATTCAAGTATATGAGAAGACGACACACTTCACGACCATTGCACAAACCTTGCACGAATCATGCTTAGATATATGTTTTCTCAAATGCCTAATTGAGTGATGTTGAAACTAATCGTCTTTCGTGCTACTCTCCTTAGATGTGTAGACGTGAGATGTTCTTGACGTGTATCGTTAAAGTACGATTAATTTCGACCAAAAATAAATCATGCTATTTCCATTTCTCGAATAGCTTCCCATACACCCTAAACTTTAAATGGCCATCTCATTAATGGTAAGATTATGAAGGATGAAAAAGATACATTTAATGTAGACCAATTAATCTGATGATTTTTATCTATCTTTCCTAAACTATCATTTGTTTTGCTTCTGTGCGTATTTTTTTTTTTGGTCGAATTCTTGTGTTTAAATCGGAGAAGTTTACACATTCGTTACTTTTTTAACTAGAATCGTCTAAGATTGAAGTATTTTTAATAGATTAAATGATTGGATTCTTACCTAAACTCTCCAAGATGTGGTAAAAGGGAACAGTGAGGAGAATGTCAATGGAGTATATGTTGACAAACCAAGGATGCCTTCAGAAATCAAGTATCAATACACTTGAGAATGCATCGCAAATGCAATGCACCTAGGTAGCTAGATTATCAAAGAGCATGGACATGAAAGGTAAACCTCAGAGCTCGAGTAGAGCTCTCATGAAACGAATTTCCGCTCGCTCGAAAAGAATTAGTTCCGTCACCCCCTCGTGACTGTCTGCGTCAACAGTAAGCTCAAAGCGGTCTCGTGCGATGACCCCTCACGCGGCCGCAGAGCAGGGCATTCTTAGGGATCGGAAGCTCGTCCCTGTACGAATTCGAACTGGTATAGACCCTCATGTAGAATTGCTGTCCTAAGTATTGCCGCGCCCAGTCCTCGGATCGGATGTTCCACATCCCCACATTGTCTAGAGCCATGTAGATTGCGGTCCACGATTTCGGATATACCTGGAATGATTCGGCCACATGAAAGAAGCAAAAGTTAGCACGATAAACGGTCGCCGGCACTTCCCTTGATGTGGCGATGTCGATCTTTTCATGACAACATTCGTACACAACTAGGACAATGTTTCATCCTATTACCTGAGTCGTGCAACGAGCTACTGTATCTTGCAAATTGTAGAGCGATCTACTCGCAGGCGTCCATTGCCCTCCGTCCATTCTGATCGAGTCGAAGATTAAGTCAATAATTTTGGAAAGACGCGTTATCTATGTGGGTTTCGAACAGGCTTTAGTGTTACCCCATGATGAAGAACGAATATCCATCAATGTGCCAAGACTGGACGGTGTTCTCCCAATTCTGGAAAACGATCTCAATGTACTCTCGGAAGTTCGTGGACATGACGGAGGTCTGGAGGTAGCCGCTCCCCCAGTTGGGGCTTGTGGGCATGCTTCCCAGATTGAAGACCCCAGGAATCTTGAAGTGATCCGCGAGCTTTATTGGAGTGTCCGCTGGAACAAACGAGGCCCCGTTGACGGCATACCTCTGCTTGCCATTGATTATCGGGGCCGAGTTCGCCAACATGATGGTGCGGCTGGTCTTGATCATCCCGTAGTGATATGAACCTTGAGGGTTTGGTCGAGGCCCGCTTGCCGTAAGATTCCAACTGGTTTGGATATCACGAAGTAACGCTGTTGAGGTTCAGTTCATACACAAATGGAAGACACAATAAGAAATGACAACTACACAGTAGTCAATGTTCAATACCGTATAGATCTGGCTTGGTTCAATGACCAAGCAACTTCAGTCGTAGGACCACCAGGAACAGGACCGGAGACTCCCATGCGGGAGTTGCTGTAGTGAAGAACAGCGGTTGTTGTGAGAACCCGGGCGGTGAAACGGGAAGAGACAACTACATAGTAATCTTGCGGTTGCTGGTCGGCCATGACCAAGACCGAGTAGGATTGACCGAGGTGGATGTCGAGGGAGTCGTAAGTGGTCTGAAGAGTGTGAGAGCCTTCGACCTCAACCAACTTCATCTTATGCCCTTGAATTCTGAAGTTAATGGATGTCGTAAGGCCGACATTCGATATTCTAAACCTGTATGTCTTGCCTGCACAGAAAGTGAAAGCTCAACCTCGTGGAATTTGATACTGATGGACTAGGTATTCTCTCAATTTTCCGAATATATATGCTCAGTGCCATTGGATGATGTAAATCGACTGGATAGCAAGTATGACCTGGATCGACTGTGAATGTGTATCCGTTCCAACCACGGCCATTGATGAGAAGCCCATCAGGAAATGGAAGATTGTGACCGACATCCAGAATGAGTCTCAGTCGCTGTATACACAAATAGAAAATGGAGAAAAGGCATAAGACTAAGATCAGAACTTTTCATACATGCACAAAAATAACAGTGCTAATGGCACGCTAATTACATTGTGATCTGTTTTGAACCAGTCACCAGCGAGGACAGTGAAATCGCCGGCAGGAGAAGGGAAAGGGAGGGGGATTAAGGGCCGGCTCCAAATTCTGATGCCACCAAAGCCTCCGGCGGCCTTCTGAAGCCCAACAGACGGGAAGTAAAAGTAACTGCCAATCTGATCCTTCACTTGCAGAACGTAAGTGAAGTTCCTTCTGGGTAGGATGGGACAATTCGTGCCATAGACTCCGTCCTGCCACGAATTCCTCCTCTGTTGTATACCATTCCTTCAAAAGCAGTACACAAGAGTATTAGTACTTCGATTTAAAGCGAACTGCTTTAATGAGCAGGCCGAGCATTCTCTATTTTGAAGTTAAACGGCATTTGTCGAGGGACGTCATTACATATTCAAATTTTCTTTTTTCCCGATGATTATAACTCTGCGACATTCAGAAATTTTTGAGATACACCAGTTATGCGAGGGATCTGCAGTGGAGCAATGGATCAAACAATAAGAAGGCATATTCTCTACGAAGCGCCATTTTTAGCTTCAAAAGCTGTGCCACGTTCACCATCCAAGAATTTCACAAAACCATAAGCATGTTTACATAAATCTTAATCCCACCCACTGAATGACCTTCACTCCCAACAGTAGATGTCCTGCATTTGACAGCTGAATATATGATTAAATATGTGTGTGTGTGTGTGTGTGGGAGTGTCTGTGTGGTTGTGAGCATAATAAGTAGATTCACAAGTCACATGTCTGGATCTAGACATCCCACATGTGGTTAGTCAGGTTCACTAAAATAAGCCAGTTGGACAGAGAGAATAATTCACATATTTAATTGCTTCTCAGACTGTTGTGAACAGCCAACGAGTCCTAGCTCTACTTAACTATGTTCTTGGAGATTGAAAGAACAATCATCAGAATCAGTTAAACAATCACTCCTCTAATTCGAATCCAGAGAAGCGCACGCAAACACACACACAAGCACAAGATCTGGGGAACATACCCAGTCAAATGAAAAAAAAAACAGAGGTAAAGCATTAACTTTTGGCCCCACGTATGGAGAAGAGGTGGCCTTTCTTTATGAGAGCATAGCATCAATATGATAAGCATATTTGAATATCAAACTCAACCTATAAGTGCATTGATGGCTGATGGAGATCTTACTGATGCCAGCTTGCATTTTAGACGTAACCAGATGGAAAAAAAAACGAAATTTTCTAAATGTACTAATATCAGAAATTCATAAATGTGCTGATTTGAGAAATTTATCCAGAAAGTAAAAACCACAGATCCAGTTCCTGGTGTCTTAAGAACGGAACAGTTTCCACGGTGCAGTTATGTGTAGAAAAAGAAAGTTTATCTTCCAGTAATAACTGAGAAAAGGGAAAGAAGACAACTTTTGAGCTCAACATGGTACTTTCTAAGGATTAATCTAGCAAGGGAAACAAAATTTTTAGCCGTTCTTGAAGTTGATGGTCGTTCTCTATCAGCTAAAAAAGAAACAGTAGAAGGAACTTATACTATTTCACACTCTTTTCTCCTGCATGTTCAGATTAAGCTAAGAAAAGAGAGAAACGACCCAAAAACAGAGAGAGGAAACAAAGAAAAGACACAGAGAGATTTCCACAGGAGCAACAGATTTATTACCATGATATCAGGAATGGCTCCTTCAAGTAGTTGTAGACACTAATGATCAGGTTGTCATTAGTGACCGCATCAATTTGAGGCCCTGGAAACTGCCCATTGATCAAAATCCCCTGCACCAATCCCAAACTTTAGTCCAGCTCTTCAATAAATTTAAGCATGATTGTATAGCATTCTTGGAAAAGCCAGAGAACAAGTTAAAGCTGTCTCCCTTACCAAAAAAAAAAAAAAAAAGTTAAAGCTGTCTTGCTTTCAACATTAACCAAAAAGAAAACAACTTCTTGCCAAGAGCACAAAGAAAGGGAAAGAAATAAAGGAAAGAATCGACCTTTTCGTCTCAAAAGCAACAAACATCACATTCCAAAAGAAATTGTTGCCCAAAGGAATGAAAATTAAAAGGAAGGTTATAAAAATGAGCACCTGTTGCTTAACACCCAGAGGGTAAATGTCACCATAAGTGACCGTCCACGTCAAGAACCTATATGGGTTGTCACCATTCGTTCCTTGAAGGAGAAACAGTACACAGATGATGAGAGATCTAAGGACCCTGCAACTGCAACCTCTCATCCTCTCTCGTTCCTGTTTCCCTATTCTTTGGCTCCGAGTGAATGCTCTTGGACTTCAAAAGATGAGACTCTGTGGGTCACTTCTCGAACAATGTCTGCAAGTTTCTTGAGGTCAAGTGTCTATAGCTATGACATTGCTTGAGTCGAGTGAACCAGGGGAAGAAAATTAGCTGTGCTTCTCTCTCTCTCTCTCTCTCTCTCTACCTCTCTCCCTCCATTTTGCCCTCCATTGCCTGCCTATTTATGTGTGTACTTTATCTATGCATCACAGGCTAGAGTAGATTTCTTGTTTGTATGTGAGCCCGAGAGGCAGACAGAGATGCAACATGACATGAGCTGTCACACACGGAGAGATAGAGAGAGAGAGAGAGAGAGAGAGAGAGAGGTGAGATGCATGATGCATGACCCTCTATCGTGGACCGTGCACATGGAATGGGCACTATACTCTGTTCACTTATCATTGACACTGGATCTCTGGGAAATATTTCTGGGAAACATTTGGGAAACATTAGGTTGGCTTATGCCATGATTAACGGTGTTAATTTTGACTAGCCCGAAGAGAAGAAAATCAAAATGTCAAATCATAGTGTTTTGACTACACGAGTCTTGGGTCGCCGGCGGTTCTTGTCGTATCATTCACACGAGTTTTTGAGATCTCTGCATGTTGTGCCATTGCTAATCAATCATATACCCATTTCCAATCTTCTGCAGCCTTCTGCCTCCGCTCTCAAATGACTACTTCATCAAAGATTCAAAACAGCGGGCCTCAGCTCGAGCCGGCTTAACCTTGATCCGTCGGTAAGTCCTTTTTAGAAATAATGACACAAACAGTTCCTGAATTTCAATTTAATGTGCAATATGATCTCTGAACTTTTAATTTATTCAATATAGTCCCTGAACTTTAATTTAATGTTCAATATGATCCATGAACTTTTAATTTGTCAAATGTCGTCCCTAAACTTTTGGTACATGTTCAATGTAGTCCCTAAACTATATAAAAATATTTGATGTAGTCCCTAAACTTGAAATAATAGGAGGATTACATTGAACATTTTCATATAGTTCATGGACTAAAATTAAACAAATTAAAAGTTCATGGACCATATTACACATTGGGTCGAAGTTTAAAGACTGTTTGTGTCATATTTCCTTCTTTTTATCGTTTCCACTCGAGAATCAAAGGGAAAAACATCACAAACATACTTGTGCATTCTTCTGGAGTCGCCTAATCAATAGTATTCAGTACATATGCATGTGGAAGGACTAGCATATGATACAAATAATTAGTATTAAACAACAAATTCTTTTTTGGCTTAAAAGAAAACTATATTTAGCTCGACCTCCTTTCACGTGGAACAGCCGAAAAAATTGAGACAGGAGGCCTACTTAGATTTAAGATTGCAAATACATATTCCTTGTAGATTCTTTATGCTGGGATTTTTACATTTAAATGAGGAATTCATTCAGTGTGGCGGCAACACACGGGTGATCCGTGCGGTCGCTGCTCCTTCTGATTAGTGAAAATTACACAAATAGTCCGTGAACTTTGGCTCAATGTGCAATTTGGAGTGCATTGAACATTTTCATATAGTTCATGGATTGAATTAAACATGTACCAAAGTTCAGGGATGACATTGAACTAATTAAAAGTTTATGAATAATATTGCACATTGGGTTAAAGTTCATGGACTACATTGAACAAATTAAAAGTTCAGAGATCAAATTGCACATTGAGCGAAAGTTCAGGAACTGTTTGTGTTATTATCCCTTCTGATTATGATGTACGATGGGGGTTCCCCTTGCGGTAAGTAGTCTTGCTCGGATCCTCCTCCCTTTAAGGCCTCACTATGTTAGTTATGAGTAATATTTTTTAGAAAGTCATTTTTCAAGAAAATAACAATATTTTGTTGTGTATGGCTGGAATCTAAAAATAAATTAGAATATGTTTTCCGTTGTTCGGTATGGAAAAGCTTATTTGATTTTCTTTAAAAAAATATCGAATTTCCAAATTTTTTATTTTTTTTCCCTTCGTCCCCAACTTCATCCTCCAATGCCTCATCCGAAGTGCCTTGATAACTAGGGGTACATTGCCCGGCAAGCCGGTTGATCTAGTTTGGTATTAGAAGAAGGGTTAATATTACGAAAAACCCCAAACTGGTACACCCGTAATAAATTTACCCTAAGCTAATTTTTTAACTATCAAAAATCCTAAACTGGTACACCCATGACAAATTTACTCCAAACTAAATTTTTTACCACCAAAATCCCAAAACCGATATACTTGTGACAAATTTATCCTTCGATAGATTGATTAATATCACAAAAAATCACAAATTAATAAACTCGTGAAAAACCCCAAACTAGTACACCCGTCAACTGTCACGTGTCATCTAACTCGGCGATTGGACAATAAAATTTAACGGAAACTAACGGAGGGTTAATATATCGCATCTATACATGTTTGAGGTTTTCAGTGGTCAAAATTAATTCGGGATATATTTATCACGTACGTATCAGTTTAGAGTTTTTCGTAGTATCGAAACTTAGAAGAAATACTTTCTTACACTCTATATCTTTTCTGCCCGGGAGTTCTCAAACACACCCAACAACTTTTATTCAGTCATGACATTTCTTTCCGTCGTACGCATGAACTTAAATTTTTCGTTCTATGGGCGGTCGTCTTCAATGTCACCATTATGACATGTACAAAGTACAGAGTGGCCTCCCAAAGTCTTCCTTCCGATTCTCGGTCCGCAAACGCTGATCCACGACGAACCGGAAACAGTGTCGGAATCCCAGCCAACCCTTTGGTCCGCTCCTATTTTCAACCCTGTCAAACCCGACCGATTCCCGACCTATCCGTTTAACGGGTCTGGTCATGGTCTAAGAATTCAAAGTCGAAGTCCATATCCAGATTTGCAATTTGGCCCTTTCGACACGACACCTTCAATGAGGGAAAAAGCCATATAGAAAAAATCTCAAAATATGTTTACCGCGACATGTATACCTGAACTTTTTTGTGACGACAAAAACCTTAAATTATACCCACTCTGACATATTTACCCTAAATTTTTTCTGGTGACATATAAAAGCCCCAAACTTATACTAATGTCGCGCATTTACGCTCCATCAAAGGTATATAAGATGATTTTTCACTTAAACCACGTGATCGCTATATGAATAATGTTTGCTTTCCGGCGTCAATAGGCAAAAATTTTAACGGTCGTCATTTGACGGGAGGTAGATGCGTCACAGGGGTATAAATTTGTGATTTTTTATGTCACGTAAAAAAAATTTAAGATAAATATGTCAAAATGAGCGTAGTTTCGTGATGTTTTTTTTTTTTTAGCTTTTGCCCCTTTGGCTCAAACATGATCTAATTGACATTTGCATCTACTAGTGAGATCTCTGCAAATCCGAAAATCTCCTGCACTACCAGATGACTTTGTCCGTGCATGCCCGTCCCTGTTGTTGCTGTCTCTCTTTATTTCTGTTCTTTTCTTTTCTGATCACTCTGTTGCTACTATTTTCCAGGCTGAAATTTCTTTTTATTTATTACTATTATTATTGTAATAGAGGTTTTCTTATTCCTGGGTACGAGAGCTTGGATCACAAGATCGTCCGTCGCAATGCAACAAGATTGGTTTTTGTCACCGCCTGAACTTGAACTCTTCCCCGTTTATTTCCTTTGTTGGTACCTCGTGACTACTTCACCTGACCCTTCTGTTCATGCTTGGATCTTTACTCCCTGTAAAAACAGAGAAAAACCCTCTATATTGTCCGGCTCACGAGATCGTGCCGCGTGTTCGTTTTGTTCCGAATCCTCGCCGTGCCGGACTAAGCCCCACACGCGAAACCCCCATGCTAACCCAAACCCCCTCTGTGCCAACCGCTGCCCGACTCGACCGAGCCGCCACCTCTCAGCGGCGACGCCCAAGCCGGTCGAGCCGCCATGGGTCTTGTTATAATTGTTGCTTCAAGTGAACATGATAACAGGCAGACACTCTCACTTTATAATAGCACTATCTCATGGATCGATGTCGAAGAAAAAGATCGAGAAAACTCGATCTCACTGAAAAATCCCGGATTTAATTTATATCATGTATTATCTTTGTAATTAATTTAATAAATTCAGTAAGATATCTCATATATGTAGGCGGGCAGAGGAAGGAACTCGAAACAGACCGTAGCTTATTAACTATAATTGAAATCGAAGGCGTGGTATAGATTTTTATACTGATTAAAATAAATATTAGAAAACTTTGTTCACAACAAGCGGGGATAGCTCAGTTGGGAGAGCGTCAGACTGAAGATCTGAAGGTCGCGTGTTCGATCCACGCTCACCGCATTTTTGGCTTTTCTTTCTTTTTTGTCTATGCATAACCCAGTTGAGTTCCAATGAGCTGCATTGCATCTGTATCAGAAATTAACAAAAAAACAGCAAATTTTAGATGCCTCGCTAGCGAACCTGTCAACAGCATTGTGCCAAAACTACAAGCAAAACCGCAGCTGGTGCAGTTAACTAGGAGTGCTTTGTTTATTACAAAAGAAGCATCTACGGTATGATCCGGAACTTCGGAGTTCTTCTGCATCGCGAAAAACTAAGTCCATAGTAACCAACGACCAGCTGTGTTCATGAGCTGGTTAATCCATTAATTAGACATCATGGCCATACTTTTCGGATGGAGAAACCCGGGCATAAGCTCTTTGATCCAGTCATGGAGAAGAAAAAAGTGAGCTTGACCACAAAAGGGAATTATGTAAGTCTTCTCTCTATGCGTGTCACACATATGCACGCACGCACGTTTCTGCAACACAAACTGAGTCTGCATAGATATGCGTCGGTTCTTGTGATCTGCACAAGATCGTGCGCTTTAGGGCTATGTGACTATGGTTTCTGGTGCAGGTCATGATGGACAATGGGCTGGTGAAACTCACCATTTTGAAGCCTCAAGGTTACTTAACCGGCGTAAAGTACGGAGGGATGGACAACCTCTTGGACATCAAGTCGAATGAATCTGGCAGAGGGTAACTGCAGACAACTTCGCAGAAACTTACGTTGTTCAAAAATTTATGCAACTTAAAGCATCAGATTTATCGTTTTCAACATGTATGTGTCTCTATAAATTTGCAGATATTGGGATGCCAATTGGAGTTTGCCAGGGGGCAACGACAGATACCAACTGTATTTCTTCTTCACACAAAATTCTAATGATAGTGAACTCTATGAATAATTTCAAGAATCAGGGAGGGATGTTGATCATCAGTTTCGATATTCTGAAATTCATTCCGATTTACTTAAACAGGATCAGAGGGGCAGAGTATAGTGTTATTCATCAAAGCAATGACCTCGTGGAGGTCTCCTTCAGGAGCACTTATAATCCGTCGACTCGGGGCATGACGCTGCCCCTAAGTGTTGACACAAGGTTGAGTGTCTATTTTCTATTAGCTTTTGACTTAATTCTGCTGATGATCTCAATGTTCAGATCTTTTCTCTTGCACATTTGTTTCATCTTTTAGGTACATTATCAGAACTGGTGTTTCGGGCTTTTACTGCTACACCGTATACGAGCGCCCACAAGGATGCCGTGCCTTTGACCTCGCTCAGACGAGGCTGGTGTTTAAATTGCGACGAGAGAAGTAAAGTTTCTGTCTAAGCTATCTAAAGAGAATACATGTAAAGGCCCGATGAACGGCATCCTAACTGTATACCCCTTGTGAAATCCGAACAGGTTTCACTACATGGCAATTACAGACGAAAAGCAAAGGATAATGCCAGTGCCGGAGGACCTACTTCCTGGCAGAGGCAAACAACTGATTGTGCCTGAGTCTGCTTTGCTAGTAAACCCCGTTAATCCGGACCTCAAAGGCGAAGTATGAAGATAGCTCCGAGTTATTTATGCTGTCGTCTCAGACTCTCAGCGCGTCAATCTTTATCAGTTGATGGTGGAAACTAAGCTAAATCGTGTGCAAAGAGTGCAGGTGGATGACAAGTATCAGTACTCGATGGACAATAAGGACGGTGGACTTCACGGGTGGATAAGTTCTGGTCCTATCATCGGGTTTTGGGTCATTACCCCAAGTTACGAGTTCCGCAATGGCGGCCCGACAAAGCAAAATCTCACGGTTCATACCGGTCCAGCCTGCCTAGCAGTAAAGTTCCCATTCTTTTCTGTCACTATGCAAAAATGGTTGACATAGACACTAAAACTTCGAAGTATCAAAGTTAATGATATGAGCTTGCAAAATATCAAAACTCATCTACATTGAAATGTACAAATCGTAGAAAATTACCAATTGTAAAAAAAAAAAAATGTCTGTTTTGCAGTTGACAGCAAAACCGATGTAGTATTTACTTAAATGGAGAATTCATTGCCATTCATTGACTTTTGACAGATGTGTCATTCAACCCATTATATAGGAGATGATATCCTAGCTCATTTTGGAGAGGGAGAGACGTGGAGAAAGGTCTTTGGCCCATTCTTCGTGTACCTGAATTCAACTAATAAAGCATCAAATGCACACAACTTATGGTCGGATGCAAAAAAACAGGTATGCGCTCGTTTACTGCACTCAACCTAGGAGTAAACTCAAAAAACAGGTATGCTTTTGCTTACACCGTCTGTTCTTAATTAATATTGCTCATCCTAGAGGGAGATCGAGGAAGCATCATGGCCATATGATTTTGTCTCATCGACCTATTATCTATCTGCTAGCGAGCGCGGTTCAGCATCGGGAAGACTCTTTGTCCAGGACAGGTATCGTACTTATTCATATAATGGCAGTTTTAACTCTGCTTCAAGAGGCCAAGTAGCTTCCCTAAGCACTATTACCACACAAACAGCAAATTGCCCACATACTTTGTAACATCATCTTTACAAAGTTCATAACGACTACCTGTCTAACCGAACAATTCAATATTCACTTCCCGCGTATCCGCACCTCAAATTGTCCCCTGCAGGTATATATCCAGTGCTCTAATTCCTGCTAAAAATGCATATATTGGTCTATTGGCAGCGAGGACTGAAGGAGCATGGCAAACTGAGAGCAAAGTAATGAATCTGGCGGTTATTTTTCCCTCTATATTTGCCAAAAAACCCATCTGTAGATGGCCTCTAAATCGGTGTTTGACTAAATTTTGTGGTCTGCTTGTGTGCAGTCTTATCAGTTCTGGGTTCAAACAGACTCCAGTGGAAGTTTCACCATAAGGAACGTAATTCCTGGAGCCTATGGACTTCACGGGTGGGTTCCTGGTTTCATCGGCGACTACCTCGAGAAAACACCGGTTACCATTACCGCAGGTATTCTCATACTGTTTCCTACTGCTGGAGATATGAATGCAAGTGTTTCGACTTTATTAATCCTTCATCCTAACTTAAATTAATTCAGATTCGGAGACACAGCTTGGGAATTTGACCTTTGTTCCGCTTAGAGATGGTCCGACCTTGTGGGAGATTGGGTATCCTGATCGAACAGCAGTTGACTACTTTGTCCCCGATGTTAATCCGATGTACGTCAACAGGATATTTCTGAAGGGTCCTGAAAAGTGAGTAATGCCCTCCAAGAACTTAATCTCTACGCAACTCCTACATTTTCTAAGGAAGGTGCCAGTTTGAACCAATCAGTTATCTGCATAACTACACAATTTCAACGATACGTGATGACCTCGTACACGATGCTCCAGTTCGTTTCCTCAAATTGGTTTCGTGTTCTAACTTCTCTCAGGTATTGGCTTCCTAAAACTTGCTCATATGGACTCTTGGCTATACCGAAATGCAGGTTCAGACAGTACGGCTTGTGGGACAGGTATACCGACATACACCCGGAATCCGATCAAGTATTCACGATAGGGGTCAATGATCCAAAGAAAGACTGGTTTTTTGCCCATGTTGACAGGTAAGTCTTTCCTAACTTATGTGCAACACTGGGGGCAAATAAAGGAAATACCCACAATTTAGCCCGATACTTCACCATATGCATTCCGTTACCGTTATCTAGCAACTTGAGTTCAGCAACTGAACGCAGCTTGCATGCCATAAATCAATGTTGTCCAGGAGAGGACCAGATAAGTATCTTCTCACAACATGGACTATCAAGTTCAATCTGAACTCAGTGACAGGAGGAACCTACAAGCTCAGGTTGGCGATTGCATCAGCTACTCGCTCCGATCTTCAGGTAATCACGTAGAAACTAAATGGTATTACGCAGTTGGGTCACAGAGAACTCATATCGGCTCAAAAACAACCAACTATTTCAATAACCATGTTTCAGGTTCATATAAACTCCATGGATCAAGAACGTTTAGTGTTCCAAGTGATGAATTTGGGAACAGATAACACAGTATGCAGACATGGTATCCATGGATTATACCGTCTTTTCAACTTTGACATTTCTTCGTCATTGTTGCTAAAGGGAGACAATTCAATGTATCTCACGCAAGCCAGAGGAGGCGATGCGCTATGCGGAATCCTCTATGACTATATACGCCTTGAAGCGCCAGCAACTGATTAGAGCGAGTTTAAGCAGCTATGGAACTTGCTACTGACATCTCAATCACTATGGATGACGAGCTATTGCGGAGAAGAGATGAAGAATATTTTGCTAGGCAAAGAAAAGCATGAAAATTCTCTGATAAAAGTATAAAAGTAGATTCCCGCCATTAGCAAATAATTAATTGCATTTTTCCTGTTTCATTATTTCATTTTCAGAAGCACATTTGGCTGCTTCGCAGGTACAGAGTATTGTACAAGACTTGGTTATCGCTCATCTATCAACCCTCAATTTCTCTTGGGATTTGACTAAAACATAAGCTGTTGGTCCTTTTTTATTTAGGGAAATTTTTCTTGAAGCAAGTACACAGTTAATATGATCTTCCCCACCATCTGACAAGAATATGCAGACAAATTTCTATGAAAAGAGCAGAAAGTAGAAATTACAAGACTGCTAGTTTTGTTCGGCAACTACCGTCTGAAATGATCAATAGTCACATCTCGGGGAAAAAAACAGAGATATGAGATCAACATTGTTACCGCTTTATCATAAGTGGTTACAGTTTCCTTAGATCAAGTAGTGTTCCACAGCAAAATATTCAACAATACCCTTCAAAATGGCCAGCCATGGCATTTGCAAAATGAGAATCATGGTTCACTGCAGGATTTTCAGTCATATTTTGTTTACGGGATTTCATTTACAGATAGATGCACGAGAAGCACAAAATGATACTTTTGGACATAAGCATCAATTCAACAACTTCAGCACTTGGGACATTACTTGCTGCCAATGGTTATAAGCAAACCAAAATGATCACTCGGCAGAACTGGAAGCGCCAAATTTTTTACCTCTTTCCTAACCTTTTTCTCCTTGCAGTAAGTCAGACCAGGAATTGCCTCCCTCCCAATCATGTCGATGCTTGTTATCTTGAAATCGTGAAGATTACAAAGAAACCGATCCAGACGCTTCTGCAATGTGCGGTTAGCAGACAACATAGAGTTGGACTTTGTATCGTATGTCCATCCGTTTTCACTAGGTCTTAACTCCTCCCAAGCATCGACCCATTCATCACGTAATGGAAAACGGCCATCCAATTTGTCATCCCAGTTCATATCACCACCTAAAATCACATTTGGATGCTTGCCGAGATGATCCATGGCTTCTTTTGCCTGATCTACTCGTTCCTTGCTGTACATTTGATCCCATTTTGGAGGAGCTGGGCAGGGACTCTCAAGATGACTTGTGGCAATGGTTAGCGGCTTCTTCCCTTCAACTTCAACCTTGACTATACAAAGTTCTCTCCCCATCACCGAGTTCCCAAAAGGTTTGCAGATGAAAGATCTCACAGGCAGTTTGCTTAACTGCACAATAATTTTTTTGTGAGTGTTTACATCCAGAAGCCAAGAATGAAGTGCCAAGTTAAGTTGTGATCTGGATCAAGAGCTTGTGGAGGTCATGTCAAACAACCACACTATGAACTAAGATAGGATATAAAAAAAAAAGCTAATTGAAGCAGAATAGGGTCTAAGATAAAACAGGATATCTTGCTCTTACCAGCATGCAGAAGTAGGGTCTTAGATTCGCTGCATCACTCGAAACAGAGCAATGATATAACTTCCACCAACTTGACAGCCGAAAAATGTCATATATGTTTGGAGTAACCTCCTACAGGTTAAAGCAGTCATTTGTGATATAAAAGGAACGAACAAGAAGCGGCATAAATACAGAGGGAATACATTCACAAATGGGGACCTGGAAACAAATGACATGTGGAGAGTGCATTTGAACAAGCTCGCCAATTGCTTTCATCCTCTTGTGCATTTCCAGATCCTCCCGAAACCAAACATTATAACTAAGTATTTTCCATGAATTCGAAGCTGGGCATGACATGCCATCCTCTGCAGTACATTAAACTTACCGTAAACGACTCCCAAACAAAAGCGAGGTTTTCCAGGGTTGAGGACGATAATATAAGAAAAATTTGTCTGGACAACCAACATATTTATGTGAATGAGTGATACACCATACCCGCAACAATCCAAGAAAAGAAAAAGAAAAAGCAAGCACAATTCATCCAACAAGTACCCAGCTCCATCAATTCAATTATCATCAGTAAATCACATCTTATGACTGTTAATGTGGGCGACGACGAGCAATGTAGATAAGCGAACTATCCATCAAACAAAAGAAATCTAACAATAATTGCTATCTGAACAGACTGATCAGGCATCAAAACCGAGGAACGTTGGACCATACAAAAGCAGACAAGCAAACAACTCCATATTGAGTGTTTTCTTTTCCACTCCATGCTGTCCTGAAGTCTCATGCGACTGTGAACCCCAAAAAATAGTCCGAGTTAGTTCAAAAATTCAAACCTCAAAGTGGAAACACGCATAAACAAATCAAACCCGAGAAAAAAAAAATCATCCTTTAAAATTCCCATGCAATTAGCACACGAAATGCCAACTAAAATGGACAGACCACACAACAAACCCACACAAAAGCGCAGCGCAAACCATCCCACCTTTCGCATCGACTTCTTCACTCCCGTCCTCAGCTCCACCGATCCTACCCACTTCCACACAATCCTCCCCAACACCAGCAACCTGATCGCCCCTCTTCCTCTTGCACCGCTGCAACGGGAAGAACACAGACCCCACCGAAGAGTCCAGGCCGCCGTCGCTCGTGTCCCTCAGGTCCTCGAATCCCGACATCGTCGACAGCGAGGCCCTCGTGCCGCAGACATCGCAGCTCGCGCTCTTGTAAGAGTTCAGAAAGGTGCAAGCTTTGCACGACCACTTCGGGGCCGACGACGACGACGACGATGCCGACGGGGGCGGAGAAGATGGCGATAAGCAAATCTGGCAAGTGGGTTTCTGCGAGGGAGGGTTGAGGAAGGTGCATTTCTTGCAGGACCACGACATCGTCGCTGTCGGATCGAGATTGCGGGAGCGAGAATTGGGGGTTTTTCTAGGGTTTATGGCGATTTTGGGGCGAGCGATGCAGAGCGATTTGGAGGTGATATAAAATGACATTTTAAAAAAAACGTGTTTCCCGCTTCGGGGGTTCTTTTTATTATCCGTGCGAGCCTGAAGGCTTGGATAAAAGTTATAATTGCTCAAAAAAATCAATTTATGAATTAAAAATATATATAATTTATAGAGTCGAGTGATGAATTATTTAAATTGAAAGCGTGTGTAAATTGGGTGTTTGAATATGATGTAGTTTTTTGACAAAAAAAATATGATGCAGTTTTATGTTACTTTTACTTATTAAAAGGGTTTTATAAATCAATTTCAGTGTTCCTAATATTATTTGGAACGAAAAAGAATTTTGTGTTTATCAAGCAAAAAAATTATCTGGAAATGTGGTCTGAACGTACAAAAAGAGTGATGTTGCTATGAACTGTTTTGTTTCTATTCTTAGAATAGAAAAAAAACAGAAATGCATTTGATAATTGCACAAAATTTCTTTTTATTAATAATATTTTGAATTTTTTATATTTCTTTCTTTTTTTTTTTATTTGGGTTCCCTGTGCTTGGCCATGGCGAATCGTCGACCACATGCCGTCGACGACGGGGCGTCGCAAACCTCACTGAGATCCGACGAGGGCTATGACTTGCCGCCGCCCTACCGATTCTTCAAAGGGCGGTTCGCGACTAGGACGAGGGCGCTTTAACCAATCAGCAGCCCGGATTTACTAAGAAAAGCAAGCACAGGTAAGCAATCCAGGCCAGATTGGATTTAAGTTAAAGGGCTTACGCCAAAAAGTTGGGGCCAAAATTGTCTCACGCCCGGTCCGGGCGAGGGTCTAGCCCTCGCCCTTGCTAGCGAGGGTCGCGACGCCCTCGCCGGCCCGGCTTGTGGCCAGGTTCTTTGGTGGTCGTGCGGGCAAGCCAAGAATGAAGAAGAAGAAAAAAAAATTTCTTTTCATTTCTAATTCTTGTTCCCATAATCAATAAGCTACTCTTTTTGCTTCTTGATTATGTTTTGTAAGCTTTAATTAAGAAAAGCAAAAGAAGAAAATAGTTACTATTTAGCAAATTATCAAACGCGCCCTAAATTAGTTCTTACGATTGCTCTTTCGAAAACCGACATTGCAATGTCAATCTATCAGCTCGTGTTAAGCATAGTCGATTGGTACTTATTTTTTCGTGTAAATGCATTAAAGACCACTATATTACCAATCCGTGCCAATTGCGACAGCACCAAAACATCTTAAATTTTTATGTTCATTTGTCATATGAGTCTTGTGTACCAAATCAACCGATTCATATCTTCCACACCGATTAAACATATGATATCATATATGGGCTATTTTGTGTCCCACGTTTTGCCTCACTCGTGTTCATCTACGAAGTTATCGAAACTGAAATGACACGAGTATCAATCAATAATTCATAAAAGAAAAAAAAACAAAATACGTAAATTGCATGCTTAGTCTAACCTTACCAACCCTTGCACTAGTAAGAATATGCACTCCCACATATCATGGATAATGACATAAATGCATCCAAATGTATTAATTAAATAAATAACTTAATTTAGATAATCCAAACTAGGGGCGAGTATGGTCCGGCCAGTTTCGAGAAATTGGAACCAATCCCACCAAGTTTCAAGCAAATGGAGGTGACCGAGAGTGAGAGAAGGAGGCGATGAACGGATATAGGCGTGACCGCGAGTCAATGGGAGTTGAGAGTCGACCTTCAAATTAGGGATTTTATGCTTTTCATTTTTCTAAAAATATTTTCTTTTTTTTTTTTGTTGAAATTTTTCTTAAAAATTATATATCCGATCCGGATGGGCGGGTGGGCGGTTCAAGGCGTAGAACCGGGAACTGGACCGGTACCGAGACTTCCGGTTTCTTCGCACACCCCTGATCCAAACTAATTATTTAATTTAAAATTGCACTGTTTTTTTTATGCCCCTCTCTCTCTCTCCCCTTCATTTTCGTTCTTACCAAAACCCTCGTGCGCGAGACGGACAGCACTTGCACGGCTCCTTCGCAGCTCCCCCAGTTCTGCTTCTCCCCACTGCCGACCGACCCACCATGAACCGCTCCAGCTTCATCTCCACGCCTTCCCACGCCGCTCTCCGCCCTCGCCACCACCAGCTCCTCCTCCTCTCCGGCCGCGGCGGCGGCGGCGCCGCCTCCGTCGTCTGCTCTGTCAGGCCGCCCTCCGCCTCCTCCTCCTCGCCGGCGGCGGCGGCCGCCGCCACCCTCGCCCCCCCCCCGGGCCGGCGAAGATCGATGCGCCCGGCCGGATCGAGGGGCTGAGC